CTGGAAAAGGTCTTTCACAACCTTGATCTGCTAGCATGCCCTGTACCTAGGTGTTCAATCAGCAGTTACTGAATGAATGCATGAGTGGAAAAAAAAGCTTTTTCATTTTCATTATGCCATTACCTTGTCTCTATGGAGTGGGATTTATTGATTATATTGAGGCAAGAGCATAAATAAATCAGCATTTTCCAAGTTAACAAAAAGTTGGTGCAGCCCAAGACATAGACATCCTCATCTCTGTGCTTTGGTGATGCATAGAGTCAGGCCGTGGGCCCACGTGACTTTCCTTCTGCTCAGGACACACGTCGCACGCACCACTGTCTCCTCCCTTTCTCCTCGGACTGTCCTTTGTAAGGAGGATGCACTCTCCTCTCACAATTCAAGACTCACTTCTTCTAATCAAGAATGCAAATATCTAGGGATGGGGGAGAAAGCAATCTTGAAGATCAATGTTTTCTAGACTCAGGAAGCTTGCCCTCTATCCCTGCACATTTCTGTCATTTGGTTTGGGTGTGGAGGTAGAAATCATCCATTCACCTTGTGAAACTGGATTACATGTTGACGATGCCAGGCCAGCTGGCCCCTGAGAGATGTGTTACCATGGCAAACAGTCAGGCCCTCTTGTGATTACCTGTTTGACCCGAGCTTGTTATGTGTAGACGCTCATGCTGAGGGTGAGAGCACCCTGGAAATCAGAGGCTCACAGACCCGCCCAGGTTGCAGGTGTGTCCCATTTTCTCCATCCTTCTGGACCCAGCCAGGGTTGCCAGTGCCTTTCATATCCACGTCTGGCATTTCCCTGCTCTCTGCTCTCCTGGGGTTGGACTGCTTTCAGCAGATGCCACCCCTCCCTCCACCAATCCTGGAGGGGCCCTGGCCTCTATGACAGCAAATCCATTGCACCACTTAGGTTTAATTAGAGCACAGTGACGGATGATTAGTTTACACATCAAAGCATTGAAACAACAACTCAACAAATTGGCCCCATCCCAAAGCCCTGCGCAGGAGCTGGCCTTGAACGCAGAGGCTCTGCCTGCTGAGGCTGGGCAGCCAGCGATGAAAGCTCACGAGCCCCATACCAAGGCGCACAGAGGGAGCTCTGTTTCCCAAATGAAGAAGTAGATCCCAGATGTTTCCAACCCTAATTGTGCCCCTGCATCTCTCTCACCTTGGCTTTCTTTCTCAAAACCCTCCCTTGGCTGCTGCCTGAAGTTCACGTGTTGTTGTCAACTCTCAATTACTTGCAGGCTTGATTACACAATCCATGTGTTACCCAAGCTCTTTGCTAATCCTCCTTTTTTTTTTTTTTTACCCTGCTTCCTTCCAAGTGGGATTTTGATTGTTCAGGGAAAGAGACAGAAAGGCAAATAAGTTAATCATCAAGCCAGTCCCCTTGGCTACCATCTGATGATTTTTTGTTTGAGGTTTGATGGGAAAAGAGATGCCAATTAAAGGTTGCAATGAGGTGAATGAATTATTTCTGAGTCTCTTTCATGAACACTCTTTCTCATTCTTTATAAATAACCAAGAGGGAGCTGAACACATGGTAGCATTTTACATTACACTATCTTTCCATTTTCTTACATATTTCAGATTCCTTGTTGTTATGTTTGGACCTAGAGAGGCTGCCTGTGTGCTGAGACAAACCCAATTTGGTTCTTTGAACTAAAAGACTTGTCTGTTCATATTAATGATCAATTAAATAATTGAAAACAAAACAACCCCTCCTCCCATCCTAAAAGTCCACCTACTGAGCTGAATTGATTTCCTTACTTGATCTTCACACAAACTCATCAAAATAATTGGTGTAGGGCTGGGGATTTAGCTCAGTGGTGCTGCCACCTGCCTTGCAAGTGCAAGGTCCCAAGTTCAATCCCTGGTACCAAAAAAAAGAAAAAAATAATTGGTGCATTCTGCTCCAGAGTCAAAGTCAATGGCAGAGGGGAGACTTGAATCTAGGTCTTCCTCATAGCCCTTATCCCTCAGGACTATGGGAACTTTCTAATTGTCAGAAGCAACAGGGTGATGGCTGCATAAAAGTCTCATGGAGCACAAAGGCTCCAAATGGATGGAGGTGCAGTGCATGATGGGACTCTCGTTCTCTGGCTGTGGGCCTAGGGGGTGAGTGGGCATCAGCCTTTCCACTGTGATGTGGGCAGACAGATGAATGCTGGCTGCCTCTAGCACAGGACAGTGGGCGGGAGCTCAACAGGGTTCAGACTGCTTGCTGTAAGCAAAGTACTTCACAAGGAGGATGACACTGCATTATTAGTATAAACCAGGAGCCTATTGATCTGGCTGATTAGAAAGTCTTCCAAGGCACTGGGGTAATTAGCACAATTTACAAAGTAGCAGTTGTCAGCTTCATTGCCTAATTAACAATGTAAATATCTTTCTAAATGACATTTTATAATCATGATCAGACCCTCTAGCATTTGCCCTGTTCTCCACTGATTCCTTCCCAGATGTACAGATAGTTGCCTTTTTTCCATGCATAACATCACATTTCTGCATCACATATGATAAAGCAATTGTACGCGCCCCACCGCTCCTCTTTTGTATCTTTCTAGGGGTCTGCTCTGCCTTGTCTTGCCAGCCCAAAATATACAGTCTGCCAATTGAATTGCCAATTAAAAGTTCTTAATTAGATGTGAAAGGGGAGTTCTGTCATGTTCTGGATTCTGAACTATTTTTTATTTGTGTGCTTAGCGGGGTAAGTCATCTTAAATTAGCATCACATTTTTTCCTCTGAAGAGCATGTGAGAAACGAGGCTCTTAAGAGGAGAGCTTTAACACAATATTTGTGTACACTAGTCATGGGTGCAAAGAATCATCCCAAACGCATATGTTGCTTTGGCAAACAGGGTTATTCTTCACACTTATTTTATTTCCTAATCATTTCTTGGTGAATTAATGCTCACCATAGAATATTTGGCCTGCCTAATCAAACATATGTGCAGGGAACTGATTGTTTTATTTTTTACTTTAAATTTACCTATGATTTAGAGTATCCAAGCAATACTAAAAGATTACTGTCTTTTGTCTGAAGTTCCAAATGGCACACACACAAATCTTCCCTAAAGTTGAGAATTTCAGAGGCTTGCACCCCACTGGAAAGAATGCCCTCAAATCTTTCCATTGCTAGAGTTCTGATGTTTTCAATTGGTTAATTATTCACTTCTGGGCTTTTTTACTCCTACTAACTGCATGATGGTCAATGCAGCTACACATCTACAAAGTGTCGGGGGAAAGGAAAAAGGAAGGAGAGAGAATTTAGCATAAACCAGTGCATATTACACTGGTAAATTGAATGGAAGACAAAAATGAATTTTGTAGGAATTTGCTGTGGGACTTAATTAACCAACTTGCCCTTATTCCCCATTATCATTGATTTGTGTGATAAGTGCCAATTATATGTGTCATAAGTATACTCTTTTTTGCCAAAGACAAGAGATCTTATGTGTGATGCAAATAAGCGTTCTCAGAATGCTAATTCTGTAATGAGCCAATGCATTCTTCAAGGAGTTTATAGTATTGAGGAGGAATAAAACATGTGCATAAATAATTATAATGCAAAGTAGGAAACTGGTGTGTCATGAGGCAGTACAGAAAGAATTATGGCCAAAAAAGAAGGTGGTGAAATAAATTATAGTTGAAAGATGTGGGAAGGCCTGCTTGAAGGTTGGGGAAAATTGGCATAAAAGCAAAGTGAAGGTATCGAGTGAGGTTTCCAGATGAGATAAGTAGCAAGAAAACATGGAGGTGGGACAGCAATAAAGGTAATAAGGTACAAGATATTTACCATTAGGTGAGGGATGGGAGGGAGGAAAATACTGCAGGTAAGGCTATGAAGGTCGGTCAGGGTTCCATCATTGTCATTTAGGTAGGTGAGTTTGAAGCCAGCCTGGGCTACTTAAGAGGACTCTGTCACAAAAACCAAACAACCAAACAACCACAACAGAAAACTTATTTATGGACACTGAGATATGAATTTCATATGATTTTCATATGTCACACAATCTTCTGTCTTTTGCTATTAGAGTAGGCAGAGGCAGTAACCATCTCCTGTCCTCTGAGTTTTCTTTGCCTTTGTTCATTTCCCCATAACCACAGACAGCCAAGTGTTGACTAAGTGTGGATCCAGAGAACCGTAAAGTCAGTGCCTCAAGTGGCTATGACACTGCACATGGCTGTGGTTCCATTGCTGAGAGGGGCCTGGGACCAAGCTTCAGCACCCAGCAGGAGGCCAACAGGGGGATATGTGCTGATGGATTCTACCAGTATTTGATAATTAAACAGAAACACCTACGTCACAGGCTTTGGCAACCTGTGTGGGGTAAATGTAGTCCAGAATCGTCTTTGCTGAAGCACTCTTTGATACAGTGGATACTGACATCCCCAAACCATCTTCTCTGGGCTGAATTAGCTATTTTTGAACATCAGCAAGCTAAAAATAACCTCTATCCATCTCCTGGATAGGGTTCTGTAGTTTCCAGTAAGGGATTTTCATCCTCCCCGCACTCCCTACCCCTCACTGCACCAACCTGCCAGCTCCCTCAGGAGAAGGATGGCCTGGGAGTGGGCTGGGCTGCTGGGCTGGTGGGAGCCTCTTAGCTCTTCGACCCTAGCTCTCCCTTCTGGAGTTAATGCAGGGGTCTGAAGGCCCGCTGGGTGCAGCTCAAGTGTTAAAACAGCTTTCCCCTTGTGAGCTAAATCACAGCAGTTCATCTCTCTGGATTCTAGACACCTCTGACATAACAAAGGGCTTTAAAAATATCAAATAAAAGATATTTTAAACAATTTTGGAATGGCATGTTATGCTCAAATAACATTTATTGCATTGATGTTCTTTCCTTCATCTTCTCTGGTTTCTCTTTTATCCAGCAAAGTTTTCAATTTTTTTGTTTTTGTTTTTATTTTTATAAAAGCTAACATTAAAGAGTGACTGGGCAGGAAAAGGGTCCTTAGGCACTTAACTTACTCTACAATGTTTCTGGAAGAAATGTGACAGCAAGGAGGTGATCCAAGTCTGTTGAGAAATCAGGGAAGCTGAGGACAGAAAAGGAGCCATTACCTACGATGACATGGAAGCCATTGGAAACCTTGTTGACAGTAGCGAAGATGGAAGCCAACTGTCTTGGCTGACAGGTAAATACGGGAATGCTAAGTGAGGAAGGGAGATGGGCTGGGTAGACAGCTCTCCTGATGGCTTCTTGTTACTGAGATCTCAGTGTTAACATTGACTCTTTAGAGTAGCCATTGAATAATGATCACATGACTACATTTTGTTTCTCCACAAAGTACTTATTTTTGACCTGATCTTATCTGTTTTTCTTCTTTTTCCTTTCCTTCCTCCTTCTCCTTCCTTTCTTCCTTTCTCTGTCTCCCTCTGTTCTCTCTCCACCTCCCTCCTTCTCTGTCTCAGTCTCTCTTTGTGTCCTCTAGGGCACTATCCATAAACAATGATGATATGTTTTATTTTTTTCATCCACCCACAACCTAGAAGACTACCTGGTAGGTGTTCTATAAGTACTTGTTGGATGAATTGATAAAACTTTGGATATGACAAAGAGTAGAGAAAGAGATCTACCTGGTAGAGAATATGGAACAAAGAGGGAGTGCCTGTTTTTTGTTTTGTTTTGTTTTGTTCATTTACTTTTGAATAGGAACCCCTTGTCGAGTGCTGGTCAAACTTTAATGTGCCTAGGAACCACCTGAGTATCTTGTTAAAATGTAGATTCTGATTCTGCAAGGCCAGGTGAGAGATTCTGCATTTCTAACAGCTTTCAGATGAGGCTCAGGTTGCTGGTCCATGAATTACATTTTGAGTAGGAAGGCCCTAGACCACTCTGGTACTGTATGCTGCTTAGAGTGAACAGGTGGTAAAGTGGAGATTAGTGAAGGAGAGAGGAGATTACTATAGGAGCAGGGGTGTTAGGAACACAGAGGGAACAGAATCAAGAGAACCAGGAGGGGGATGAATTTTTCAAAGGCAGAAGGAAACTTCTCTCAGTGTATTAGGGAAGAGGGAGAAGGGGAGAGAAGAGGAAGGTCTTGTTCCCTGATGCTTAGCTTTTCAATGAGGTCATCAGCTGGGGTGGGGAAGTTCTGAGAACAGTCATTTACTTTCTATGGAGTATCCAGTGTGCTTTTGAGGTTTGGATCATAAACTTAGAGTAATCCCCATCAGCTCTGCTGTGTGATTTTCTAAATATTAATCTGCTTGGGTGCAGGTAGGAGTCAGATGATAGATTCAGCCAGACCCGGTAAGTGTGAGGGTTTCAGTAAGAGTGGATTTTGTATGGTACAGGCACTGAGCAAGACACGCTATTCCACCCCTGCTCTCTTGGGGCTTCTTTGTGGGAGAGACAGGTTTGATATTCTCACCCAAATGCATATCTATGCACATGTGCACACATGCATGCAATGCATGCATACATTGTATGTAACTAGCAGCACTGTTGGTGCCCCATGCAGGGTTCCTTGAGCTTGACCATTGTGCTCTTCTGGCTGATTTCCAGTGCCAGCAGCTGCATCTTTTTTCCTGAGAGAAGTATCAGGGGGTTAGCACCTGAGAGCAGGATTCCACCAGTAACTCAGAGGAATTGGTGTAGAAATGCCCAGGGCTGAGGAGGGGTATTCCCAAGGTGTGTGTTCCACCCGGGCTCCACAACATAATGCTGCTCAGTTGCTCCTGTGCAGCAGGTGACCTGCTCCACAGTGCTTCCTTTATGGGCTGCCTTCCTGTCCTGGCCTCACCTTTACACTCCCTTCCTGGGTGTTTTCTAGCTCACCTTCCAAATAAGCTACTTGCTTTCAAATCCTTGCTTCAGATTGTTCTTCTGTGGGAACTCAAACAGGAGTATATATGTATAATTATATATTGTGATGCACCCTTGGAGAAAAGCTCTTATTTGGGGGTGGGTCTCTGCCCCAGGGTGGTGGGGCAATGGGGGTGGTCAGGGAAACAACAGATCTGTGAGTTGAGATCTAAAGGAGGAGCAAGGTGGCAGGGACTTGGTGCATTTGGGAGTCTGAAAAGCCACTGTAGCTGCAGCAGAGGACCGGGAGCATGGAGTGAAGCTTAAGTGGTCAGAGCCTGCAGGGTCTTGTAGGATAGGGGAGAAGTTCAGCATGATGTATTCAGAGAACACTGAAAAGCCATTAAGGACTCCACTGCAGGTCAATGACAGGATTAGACCTGCCCCTAACAACAAGCAAAGGACAGGAGAGCCCAGGTGGGAGGGATGGAGTTCTGTGGGCTCTGTAATGACCCAGGGCCTTGCATGGAACTTTGCGCCTGGAGGAGTCTCAGCAAATGTTTGCTGGAGTGGAGGATAACTACAAACTATGTATTTGACCAGAACAACCTATTTCCTGAGCAAGGCAAATAATGGTTTCTCTTCATTAACATTGCCCCCCCCCCCGCACTGCTTCACTTCACTTTATCAGCCCTTTCTCTTTGAGATAGCATCAACACGCTAATTTCACTCTCTTTTCCTTGCTCCCCTTCTCTCTTTTTTCCTTCGCCTTCTTCCTCCTCCTTCTCTTCACCGTCTTCTTTCCTCCTCTTTACCTTCTACACTCCTCTCTCTCTCCTCTTCCTCCAAATAATCCTGTTTAATAAAATTGATTATTTCCTTCCTGCAGTCTCCATTTCTATTAATGGTGACATTTAATTCTTATCTGAGGCTATCTTAAGACTGCAGATGTCAACAGTGGAAACAGAATCACACTTTGTGAATAAGATAATTTTAAAGTGGATCTTTAGTCAAACACCATCAAAATGCAAAAAAGAAAAAATATTTCCAAGCCTGTTGACCCCTTTGTTAATAGTGCCACATGAACATCCAACATGCAGTTATTCATTTTATGGGAAAAATTCCATCCCAAAGGCAATTTACACAAAAAAATTGTGTGTATGGGTGCATACAATTTACATCTTAAATCATGAGGCACTGAAGATATTTTCAAAAGATGAAAAAGCAGAGACTCACATTCAGAGATGACACAAACCTGTTCTCCAGTGTGGTCTCATGTGTGGCCACAGTCAATAAATTACTACAGAACACACCAGCACTATAGAATGACATACATCAGTCAGTAAGGTTAGATTTATGTCACTGTAGAAAGTAAAGCAAGACAAGACCAGGAAGGCTAAAAACCAGCCTGTAAATTATTCTCCAAGAGTATTGTAAATAATCACCATTGTACCCTTTTCCCTCTTTTACTCCTTTTTATAAAAATCTTGAAATCCTTGCTCATCCCCTTCTTCCACCTAGCAATTAAAGAAGAAAAGACACTAGATGTCTAAGGTTTCACATAACCTTTTACACCCAATATTTTCATTGTCTTAACAAACAAATCTTGAGTAGTCACTGAGGGTTATGTTTTGTGACTCCCAGGGTGGTAAAGATCTGCTTATCAGGTTTTCCATTTTCGCCCTGGTGTCCTCCCTTGGCAAATTCACCCATCACCCCATGCCCCTCACCCTGTGTTCTGGCAGGATTTGAGACATGCAAATTGCAAACTGGTAAATAGCAACTTTGCATATTTTGAATAGAAGAGAACAAAGTGGTACCACTCAGTCTGTTCTCAGGGAAATGTGAGATAATAGTGAGTGAGAGCAAGGGCAGATCGAAGGTCCTAAGTATTTTCTTCAAAGTGTTTATTATGCTTATTAAATCTATTGTATACTGATGAATTAATTTGAATTATTTACATGGTCAACCTTTGAGACAATAACTTGATTTAATCAGAGCATGCAAATGTATTATTTCTCTTTGAATCTAAAAACAGGGTTAAGCTGAAAGCATCCAGACTTGTATCATTCCCTACAAATACTGGTTACAAACCTGCCCTTGTCAAGCTAAATGACATAATGTCAGAAATCAAGAGAATGTGGTGGAGGATTTCTTAGGGAAGTTGATAAACTTCCTTGTGAAAACATGCCTCTGGACAGCCAATTCTTGGATGACAAATTTCTTAAGCAAAAAGTCTTTCAAGGTCTATTCATCTGTAAATATCATGCAATGTCTGCCATAGAAGTGTTCATCTGCTAAAATTTCAGTGTAAAGGAAAAAGGATATGATAGCAATGATTGGTTTTCATTAGATTATGGGGCGGCTGTCATTTTAGTGAATGTTTGCACTGGTAAGAATTCTTTAAGGTTTCTGTCAAGTTAAAAGTGATACACGATTCAATTACTTTTCAACCCAAGTTTCCATTGGGACTTGGAAAAAGATTGGAAATTATTGTTCACAACTCTTACTTTGAGTTTTAAAATTTTTCATGGTGTTTGGATATTCATAAAGAATTTTTGGAAAAGGTAAAATCTTGTGTATTTATAAAAAGAGAAGATGCACAAGTGATTCTGAAAGTGGGGCCTTTTGGAGGTAAAGTGAACAGCTTGCATCCTGAATATTTTATGAGATCTAGGTATTAGAACAATGTTTCTGAAGCAGGGATACAGTGATCTAGGAACAAAAAGGGAGATAGGCTAGAGAACAGATTGTGAAATTACTTAAAAATATTAAGTGATCCTATGACTGGACACAGGAGTGGATGATGTTACTGAAGATTTTTCCTAATAAAGGCTCTAAAAGTGTAATGATTTATTGATTGGATCTGCACTAATGATGTGCCCCTGATTATGCATGTGTAAATAAAAGGGCTGATTTATGAGGGTACAATCGGATCTTTCAGATATATTTGGTCCATGTCTACATACTGAAAGTAAATGGAGGCAATTATCTGAGTATTTCATTGAAGGGACCCCTTTCCCCTAGTACACACTGATTTAGAGGTATGTGGTCTACTATGTTAGGTGAAGAGGGAAAAAAAAAAAGAATAAAATTCTAAAAAGAGGCAAAGGGGGAAGGGCAAATCTAAAAAACAGTTCTGTTGAGAAATATGCCCTTTTTCTCTTATCCAGAGAAAAATAGATTCCCAGGTGCTATCAGGGAGAAATCTTTTCCTTAAAAAAAAAAAGAAAGAAAGAAAAAGAAAAAAGACAACATTATAAGAAATTATTCTGTTAAAGCAAGTACACATGGAGCCTGTGTAAGGAAATCAGCCTTTTCATTACAAATAGGTTTAAAAAGCTCTAGAGAAGAGAGATGTGAACAGAAGCAATATTATCCACTGAC